TGGCTTAGGGACTAAAGGCAAGCCTTTTTGGGGGAGGTATGCGAACACATGAACCCCATTCATGCATAAACAGTGTTATAAAAAAGATGCGTGTACGATGTGGAGGCAAAAAAAAAGAACAAGTGTTGATATGTAAGGTAGAGGTATATGAGCCTCCTCCCACTGCGTCTCTTATTTGGGGGAGTTGTCACGCTAAGGGTGCGTAATTCATTGTTGCACAATAGAATATTGCTATTTAATGTAATTTGTGTAGTGCAGATATGAATTGGCCACTTGGTTGCAAGGTCAGATGACATAATGGGTAATGTAAATGGTATAGGAATGTGAAAGGGGGCAGATGGTGTGAGAAGTCACACATAAGTGGCCTGGAGGTCTGGTTTAAATATAAACTAACTCTCTAATTTGCCATTTGTCTAGATTCCCTCTTAAATAGGGAGTCCTTTGATATGTTAATGGCCATGTTAATGTTGTACCCACAGCTGAATAATTAAGCCTCATTTTTATTATATTTAGACTGGGGCAAGCACAATCTTCTAATCAAGCCCAAACATGATTTGCATAACTAAACCATACGGGAAGGGATTGTGATGTCTGCTATATTGGGTCACAAGTAAGAAGTGCGACATATCTATGGAATGGAGAAATGATAAATTCATAGATGCAATTATTATTTCTGTGGCAAGTACATAAGAGGAGATAAAAAAACAAATGTTTCCATTTGGAATGATGTTGGTCTGGAACACAAGGGGGTGGTCACTTATAGTTATTATAGGTACGCCTTATCTCCACCTCTGGGTGAGGCTTGGTAATCCAATGATACTGAAGTGTGTATTGTACTTGCTTGGGGCCAAGAATCTAATTCTGAGTGAGTCACTATCTCACTTATCAGAGAACCCCTGGGCAGAAGTTTTACTTTGAAAACCTGAGTAAGTGATTAAGACTTCTGTTATTTCCCATTTGTTTTTATCTGCTGTTGGTTTATCTGTTGTTGCAGCTATTTTTTTGTATACTTTGTAACAATTTTTGCTCATGATAAATATTCCTTTATTAAGTTCTGCCTTTGTCTAGTAAAGAAACATGTTACCTGAAGAGACTAATTAGTGTTTTGCAATTACATAGATATTGTGTAAAGTTGTATTTGGTGGGTTTTTATTATTACGTTTCCTGGGGGACCAAGGCACCCCATTTATAAATTGTCTTGGTGGTGGCAGTGTTAAAATAGTAATATTTATATTATTATGATTAAGTGTGGGTGGTGTTAAATGGGATTTTATCATTATTTCTGGTCTAGTGCAGACAAATAGTGAACTTTAACCCTTTCACCACCACGACTCTTGAAGTAGGGTGCGTTCGTGACATGTCCCACCACTAGTAGGAGAGAAAAATACAGATGAGACTGCTGCTGGGGTGGAAGTAAAGAGAGGGCTTTGCATAAACATAATAGTATATATTATAATTTTATATGAGGAGCTGCTAGACCGAACCCCCTAAAAAGGTAAGTAAAAAATGGGGCCCAATGTTCCATGAATAGAAAATAAAAACTTGTAGATTTTACTATTGCTTAAATCTAGCCATTTGTCACATTATTATGTGATTACATGTTAAAGTCACTGTTTCTTTAACCAGCTTCCTATTTAAATAGCATTCACTAAAGATTCCACACCCGATTATTGGTTAATGATTTATCATACTCCTACTTTCTGTAGCCCCATCGCTACCAAGATGTATCCTTCATGTTCCCTTAATCCCGCTCCCCACAATCAGCCTAATCTTGCGTTCATCTCAACTACTAAATCAAACAGATTTTTTGTTGCTGAACCGGCTATCATCTTGACTATGCCCGGATTTGCTCACTAAACTGTACAGATTTCTTGTTGCTGGACTGGCTTTCCTCTTGACAATACCCTCGCATTTGAGTACTAAGACGAACAGATTACTTCTTGCTGGACTGTCCCTCCTTTTGACCTCCCCCTCGATTCTTCCCACTACACTGGATGGATTTCTTGTTACTGACCATGCTCTTCTCATCGATCATCGCTCATATTTGTTAACTTCAAAGGACCTATTTTCTCGCAGTTGACCATCAGCTTTCCACTTGGACTATGTTTTTTGTTCCACATTGGAGAATTGCAATAGATATAAAAGAAACTATAAAAATCAGTTTCTCCATTTACCCACTGCTAGTTCTCTAAGGAGAATAATTTTAATTTACTTATTGCTTTGGCCAATGCTCATTAAAATTTTTCTCCATGTGTCAAATAAACAACTAATAGCAAACTTAACCATTTGTTTCAAGTCCTCAATTTTTCACATTTCTATTAGTTGCAAGAAGAGAGTAAATTAACATAGGCCTGACACCATTAATGGGTATAGGCATGCTTGAATTGTGTATGACCCCAAGTTTTTGACAACGTTTTAAATGTGGTATAATCATCAGGGTTGTTCCATTCTCTCTCGCGTTACAGGGAGTGCAGAATTATTAGGCAAATGAGTATTTTGACCACATCATCCTCTTTATGCATGTTGTCTTACTCCAAGCTGTATAGGCTTGAAAGCCTACTACCAATTAAGCATATTAGGTGATGTGCATCTCTGTAATGAGAAGGGGTGTGGTCTAATGACATCAACACCCTATATCAGGTGTGCATAATTATTAGGCAACTTCCTTTCCTTTGGCAAAATGGGTCAAAAGAAGGACTTGACAGGCTCAGAAAAGTCAAAAATAGTGAGATATCTTGCAGAGGGATGCAGCACTCTTAAAATTGCAAAGCTTCTGAAGCGTGATCATCGAACAATCAAGCGTTTCATTCAAAATAGTCAACAGGGTCGCAAGAAGCGTGTGGAAAAACCAAGGCAAAAATAACTGCCCATGAACTGAGAAAAGTCAAGCGTGCAGCTGCCACGATGCCACTTGCCACCAGTTTGGCCATATTTCAGAGCTGCAACATCACTGGAGTGCCCAAAAGCACAAGGTGTGCAATACTCAGAGACATGGCCAAGGTAAGAAAGGCTGAAAGACGACCACCACTGAACAAGACACACACAAACGTCAAGACTGGGCCAAGAAATATTCAAGACTGATTTTCTAAGGTTTTATGGACTGATGAAATGAGAGTGAGTCTTGATGGGCCAGATGGATGGGCCCGTGGCTGGATTGGTAAAGGGCAGAGAGCTCCAGTCCGACTCAGACGCCAGCAAGGTGGAGGTGGAGTACTGGTTTGGGCTGGTATCATCAAAGATGAGCTTGTGGGGCCTTTTCGGGTTGAGGATGGAGTCAAGCTCAACTCCCAGTCCTACTGCCAGTTCCTGGAAGACACCTTCTTCAAGCAGTGGTACAGGAAGAAGTCTGCATCCTTCAAGAAAAACATGATTTTCATGCAGGACAATGCTCCATCACACGCGTCCAAGTACTCCACAGCGTGGCTGGCAAGAAAGGGTATAAAAGAAGAAAATCTAATGACATGGTCTCCTTGTTCACCTGATCTGAACCCCATTGAGAACCTGTGGTCCATCATCAAATGTGAGATTTACAAGGAGGGAAAACAGTACACCTCTCTGAACAGTGTCTGGGAGGCTGTGGTTGCTGCTGCACGCAATGTTGATGGTGAACAGATCAAAACACTGACAGAATCCATGGATGGCAGGCTTTTGAGTGTCCTTGCAAAGAAAGGTGGCTATATTGGTCACTGATTTGTTTTTGTTTTGTTTTTGAATGTCAGAAATGTATATTTGTGAATGTTGAGATGTTATATTGGTTTCACTGGTAATAATAAATAATTGAAATGGGTATATATTTGTTTTTTGTTAAGTTGCCTAATAATTATGCACAGTAATAGTCACCTGCACACACAGATATCCCCCTAACATAGCTATAACTAAAAACAAACTAAAAACTACTTCCAAAAATATTCAGCTTTGATATTAATGAGTTTTTTGGGTTCATTGAGAACATGGTTGTTGTTCAATAATAAAATTAATCCTCAAAAATACAACTTGCCTAATAATTCTGCACTCCCTGTATTACGATTGGTTTTAGTACTTTATCTTTATGCTTACTTCCCTCAAGGTGTTCAATGTTGTCACATGCTGCTAATCCTATCCCTTATGTCTATGTCATTGAAATAACCCTCCTTCCAATATACTATTATACCAACTAATCACTATATGATTTAACTGTTATATTACTAATATAACACTAACCCTAATCTATCTCTCTGTTTCCTAACTTTTTATCTTCTATACCACTTACCCTAACTATGTATCTTAAAGGAACACTATAGGGTCAGGAACACAAACATGTATTCCTGACAGTATAGTGTTTAATCCACCATTTAGATTGATTGCCCTCCCTTAGCCCCCTTAGAAAAGGTGAAATCTCACCTTATATCCAGCGCCACGCAGGTCTGTCAATGTTATCTCTGCCCCTTTGATGATATCATCAGAATTTACGATCTATAGTCAATCCAATGCTTTCCCATTCGGAAAGCATTGGATTGGCTGAAATCGGCAAGGAGGCGAGGTGGAGGGGGGGCAGACACCATTTTAGCCAATCAGCACCTCCTAATAGAGATGGATTGAATCAATCCATCTGTATGAGGAAAATTCAGCGTCCCCATGCAGAGCGTGGAGACGCTGAACGGCAGTGTTGCCTCCTGTGCAGCACTGCCCGAGGAAGAACCTCCAGTGGTCATCTGAGGAATGGTTACTTAGAAGTGTCCCTAGGGAGAAATGTAAACACTGCCTTTTCTCTGAAAAAGCAGTGTTTCCATTAAAATGCCTGAAGGCAATAATTATACTTACCAGAACAACTACTTTAAGCTGTAGTTGTTCTGGTGACTATAATGTCCCTTTAACATCATTACATCCTACAAATGATGACATGAACAATGAATAAACTGACTGCTTATGTAGTTGCACCCTAGAAGCCCAGGGGCAGACTGAGCACTCGGGCAAATAGCTCATGGACCGAGGGCCTGAGGCTCTTGGGAGCCCATCCGCTGTGCAGGAAAGGAACAGCTGGCTGGGGAGTTAAACAATCTCCCCAGCCAGCCTGCAGTCAGTGAGGGGCTCGCACGGCACTCCGCGGGCTCCTGCTACAAAATACTTCTCTTCTTTTTCGGCCCCTCTCCCCTTGTTCTGCCACACAGCCCCAGCAGGGTACACTGAGAGACAGCTAATGGGGCCTACCCAAAGACCCACAAGAATGCCTCTCAGTGTGCCTGAAAGATAAACACACTAGGAGAGCTGTCTGTAAGCCTGATCAGGCAGCTCCGAGCTGCTCCTTAAATAGGAAGTGACATCAGTCAAAGTTCAGCCGTGCGGAGCTGCCTGATCTGTGTTAGAGGAGGCACTTCAGGGAGAGACCGCATGCTTCAGGACCATGAGGGATTCCTCCTCTTTGGTTAAAGGTAAGGCTAGCCCCTCTATCCCAGCAGCCCCTCTACCTTCTACCCACTACAGCCCCTATATCCCTTTACCCCCAGCAGTCCCTATATCCCCTACCCACTACAGCCCCTTTACCTTCTAGCCACTAGGGCCCTTTGTCCCTTTACCCCCAACAGCTCCTATATTTCCCTACCCACTACAGCCCCTATACACCCAGCAGACCCTATACCTTCTACCCAGTACAGCCTCTATATCCCCCTACCCACTACAGCCCCTCTATTCCCCTACCCCTAGCAGCACCTATATCCCCCTACCCATTACAGCCCCTCTACTTTCTACCCACTACAGCCTCTATATCCCTCTACCTCCAGAAGCACATATATCCCCCACCCACTACAGCCCCTCTACCCCCAGCAGACCATAATCCCCCACATACTACAGCCCCTCTACCTTCTACCTACTACAGCCCCTATATTCCTTTACCCCCAGCAGCACCTATATCCCTCTACCCACTACAGCCCCTCTACCCCCAGCAGACCCTATATCTCCTTACCCACTACAGCCCCTCTACCTTCTACCCACTACAGCCCCTATATCCCTTTACCACCAGCAGACCCTATATCCCCCTACCCACTACAGCCCCTTTACCTTCTACTCACTACAGCCCCTCTACCTTCTACTCAGCAGCCCCTATATTCCCCCACCCACTACAACCTCTCTACCACCAGCAGCCCCTATACCTTCTACTCAGTACAGCCCCTAAATCCCCCTACCCACTACAGCCCCTCTACCCCCAGATACCTTCTACCCACTACAGTGCCAGTAGCCCCAGCAGCCCCTCTACCTTCTACCCACTACAGGCAATATATCCCCTCTTCTCCCAGCAGCCCCTCTAACCGTGCAGCTCATACACTTACTGCAACCTATATAACCCTCTATACCCACCAAAGTCCATTTACCCCCTACACCCACCACAGCACCAATACCTCCTGTAGTCCCACTATAACCTCTGCAGCCACTATACCCACTACAGTCCCTGTACTCCCTACACCCACTACAGCTCTTTTACCCCCTGCACACAGTATAGCCCTGTACCTGATGAAGCCCCTGCACCCACTACAGTCCCCATACCCCCTTCACCCACTACAGGCCCCATACCTCATGCACCAACTACAGTTCATATATTCCCTACAGTCCTTATGCCCCATACACCTCCTATAGCCCCTATACCCACTACAGCCTCCATACACCATACACCCACTACAGCCCCTATACCCCATAAAACCAATAGAACCCCTGCAAACCCTACACCCAATACAGCCCCTATACCTGCTGATCCCACCACAGTCCCCTATGTCCCCTGCAGCCCCTATACCCCCTGCATCCACTACAACCCCATACCCATTAAAGCTCCTATGCCCGTTACAGCCCTGCACCAACTACTGCCTCTATTGCTGTCTGCACCCACTACAACCCCTATACCCAGGGCCGCCATCAGGGGGTGACAACCGTGACTGTTGTCACGGGCCCGGCGGCCCTGGGGGGCCCGGACTGCTCTGGCAGTCCTGGGCCCCACTTTGTTTCTCTGCACACATAGATAGCGAATCTCGCTATCTATGTGTGCAGCCGCGGGCCCCCGGCTCCCTGTTACCGTCCGCAGAGGGGGCCCTGGCAGCACACATCTCCTCCTCTCCTCTCTCCTCATAACTCTCGCGAGACCCGGTTACCATGGCAACGCTCCGCGGGTCTCGCGAGAGTTATGAGGAGAGAGCAGAGAGGAGGAGAAGATGTGTGCTGCCAGGGCCCCCTCTGCGGACGGTAACAGGGAGCCGGGAGGGCCCCCATGCCACCGGGCCACCACAGATGGAAGCTCCCCCCTCCCTGGATACAGGTAAGCAGGGAGGGGGGAGAAACATTTAATTAAATTAATTAAAAATTAATGTTAAAATGCCCCTTCCTCCCCCTCCCCCCCCAGATCACACATTTACACAACACACACAATACATACACTAACACAACACACACACTGCAAACACTAACACACAACACACACACTGCATACACTAACACAACACACACACTGCATACACTAACACAACACACACACTGCATACACTAACACACAACACACACACTGCATACACTAACACACACACACTGCATACACTAACAACACACACACTGCATACACTAACAACACACACACTGCATACACTAACAACACACACACTGCATACACTAACACACAACACACACACTGCATACACTAACACAACACACACACTGCATACACTAACACAACACACACTGCATACACTAACACACAACACACACACTGCATACACTAACACAACACACACACTGCATACACTAACACACAACACACACACTGCATACACTAACACAACACACACACTGCATACACTAACACACAACACACACACTGCATACACTAACAACACACACACTGCATACACTAACAACACACACACTGCATACACTAACACACAACACACACACTGCATACACTAACACACAACACACACACTGCATACACTAACACACAACACACACACTGCATACACTAACAACACACACACTGCATACACTAACACAACACACACTACATACACTAACACAACACACTGCATACACTAACACAACACACACACTGCATACACTAACACAACACACACACTGCATACACTAATCCAACATACACTCTGTATACACTACACACTAACACACTCACTGCATCCACTATACTGACACACACTCTGTTTCGCTACACATTAACACACTCTGCATTCACTACACTAACACACACTCTGCATCCGCTGCACATTAACACACACTCTGCATCCACCACACACTAACACACTCTCTGCATTCACTACACTAACACACACTCTGCATCCGCTACACACTAACCCACTCTCTGCATTCACTACACATTAACACACTCTGCATTCACTACACTAACACACACACTCTGCATCCGCTACACACTAACACACTCTCTGAATTCACTACACTAACACACACTCTGCATCCGCTACACACTAACACACACTCTGCATCCACTACACACTAACACACTCTCTGCATTTACTACACTAACACATACTCTGCATCCGCTACACACTAACACACTCTCTGCATTCACTACACTAACTCACACACTCTGCATCCGCTACACACTAACACACTCTCTGCATTCACTACACTAACACACTCTGCATCCGCTACACACTAACACACTCTCTGTATTCACTACACTAACACACTCTCTGCATTCACTACACATTAACACATTCTGCATTCACTACACATTAACACATTCTGCATTCACTACACTAACACACACTCTGCATTCACTACACATTAACACACACTCTGCATTCACTACAAATTTACACACACTCTGCATTCACTGCACTAACACACACACTACATTCATTACACTGACACACTCTGCATTCACTACACACTAACACACACTCTGCATTCACTAAACTATGCATACACTCTGGATTCACTATACTGACACACTCTGCATTCACTACACTAACATACACTCTGCATTAACTGTACACACAGCATCCACTACACAAACATCCTGTATTCACAGTACACACACTACATCCACCACACATTGAAACACTCTGCATTCACTATACACAGACACTGCGTCTAATACATGCACTACATCCACTACAGACACTGCACCCACTAAACACATTTCATCTAGTACATACAAACACTACATCCACTACACAAACACACACTACATCACTGTACACATAGTATATCCACTACTCAAACACACTCTGTGTTCACTATACACACTGCATCCGCTACACAAACACACACTCTGCATTCACTGTACAAACAGTATCTAATACACACAAACACTACATCCATTACACATATTCTAATTCACTTCCACTATACACACCACATTCAGTCCTGCATCATTGTCAGCGGACCAGGTAGGGCGTGGGCGGGCCCGGGAGTGAGGGGGGGCCCAGACCTTGTGCTTTGTCAGGGGCCCCAAAATTTCTGATGGCGGCCCTGCCTATACCCATATCCCCCTGCAACTACCACAGCCCCTATCCATTCCCTGTACCCACTATAGCGTCTATTACCCACTGCCCCCACTATATCCCCTATTTCCCCTTACCCCCAATATAGCCCACATTTCCCCTTACCACCACTATAGCCCCTATTACTGCCTGCCTGCACTATAGCCTCTATACCCAACACAGCCTCTGCCCCCACTGCAGCCCCTATAACCTATGCCCCCAAGACCCCAGCACCCACTTCAGCCTTTATCCCCCTGCCACCACAATGTCCCCTGCACCCACTACAGCCCCCCACCTCACCCCATCCCCCAGTTTTGATTGTGGTATATTTTTATCTACTTAAAGGGAGACTAATGGGTTTTCCTGACTATATATATATATATATATATATATATATATATGCAGAGAATAAGAGATGCACTCTAAGGACTTGTATAAGCAAAAATTGTAGTATTTTGTTAAAAAGTATAGTATGATCGACGTTTCGACCCCTCAGGGAAGGGAAGACCCTGAGGGGTCGAAACGTCGATCATACTATGTAAACCTTCTTTTTAAATAAATACTACAATTTTTGCTTATACAAGTCCTTAGAGTGCATCTCTTATTCTCTGCATATATTTTTCAACGTGGGATTGCACCAAGGCATTAAAAAACTTTGCATTGGAGAAAGGGTGAGTGCCAAGCATTTCTGTTTTATATATATATATATATATATATATATATATATATATATATATATATATATATATATATATTGTGAGCGTAAAAGTGGAATTGTGATTGATGGACGATACATCAGGCCTGATTTGTTAAACAGCAACCTGAGAATTTTCAGTTAAATGCCCCAGGGAGAGATGTTAGAGTTTGCAATCTACATTGCTGAGGTTCTGCAAAACATGGTATTGG